TTTGTATGGGAAATAGCAAAAGGGCTGTTTTTATGGTTTTCCCAATAATTAATCAATTTTTTCAGCTTTTATACCTTCCCTGAACCTCCACGAACATTTCAAGACTAAGATAAGATAAATCCGGTCAGCTGTTCTCGAGTTTTAGCGAGACTAAGGAACAGCAATCCATTTTTATATATATAGAAGATGTATACGAGAAGACCCGGCGAACTTCGTATCGCTATATATATAATGATTGACATATTAGTAGGTTGTCTAATCTAATGTCAAAAAAAAACGTTTGTATCAACAACTACTAATAAATGAAATATTAAGTAAAAAAACATTGTCCAGCGGGCAAAATTGTGAATCTAAACCATTCCCAGATCCCCTTGAACACACACAAAAAAATTAATGAAAATCGGTCCAGTCGTTTGAGAGAAGTTCAGTGACACACTCACAGAAGAATTATATATATAAAGATATATATTACCTTTACCTGTGACTTCTCCTATTTAGCATTTGGAATAAATGACGTCATGATTTTCTAAATGAATATTTCTTGAATAGAATGTATCTGTGGAGCATGGAATTGGAATATAATTTTGTACCTTTTAAAATATTTCACAGACAAACGGACAATAATTCTTGTCAATACTTATATAAAGTTTAACGTTATGAGATTTTCTTATACATATAAATGGAAATGCCACTCACACACACACACACATAGAGACACTCACACACACATATTTATATTTATATATATGTATTTGTGAGTGTGTGTGTGTGTGTGTATTATATTTCAAAATTTCTCATTGAATTAGTTTCAATCACCCACCTCAGTCAAATAAAGGGCAATAATATATTGAACTGTATCATGACCCGCTCGTGTATTTGTAAGTGCTAATTAGTCTTGAAATACATTGCTTATTATCAAATGTAAGAAGATCTTAATTTATAATTAATTAGACTAATAATGATAAGTATGATATTTAATATGTATTGAGTCAGTGGTGGCCTAGTGGTTAAAAGGCCCGCCTCTCATGCACGAGGGTGCGGGTTCGATCCTGGCAAGTACCAATGTGATTTTTCCGAGTCACATGTACTTTCTAAGAATATTCAGATATCACTGATTAATGCATTCCCAAAGAGGGTTGATGTCAGGCAGGCGGCCGGTCGTAAAAATAAATAGCCAAAACTATTAACATGTAAGGCAGACCCTGGCTAAAGCTGGGAAATTGCAAGGTAGAAGATGATATTTAATATTTATATATTTAGTGTATAACATGTCAAAAATACAGATGAAATGGAAATTTCTATAAAGTAAAAAAGTAGCTTGTCTTAATGATCACGGTTGCTAAAAATTCGATACATCGGGAGTGTATTCAAAATAATAAAAAATGCGTATTTAATGTGAAATTTTGGATTTATTTAAATGAATACCTGTGAAAGTTTTAGATCTTTTTTAAGTAAAAGGTGGCAAACGAGCAGACGGCTTTCTTGATAGGCAGTAGTCATCTACTATGGATATCCGCAACATAGATGTTGTCAACCTTGGTTTTTGATTAGAAAGGGATAGGAATAAGGAAATGGCAACCGTCTCTTTCACTCATCAGACAAAACGCAGCCATTAAAGACTACTTCACGCCGATCTTCAGTGAGAGGGTGGTACTTACGGTCGAGACAGACCATGTTCGAGCTGTAGTAACTTGACCACAGCTAGGCTCTACCACCTCTAAAATTACCTTAAAACCTTATATTTAGTTCTTAAATATATTCAGAACAATATTAGAATATCCTGTATGTTTGTTTTAAGACGTGTACGTTAGTGTTTATTGAAGACAGCAAGCAGAGTCGGTATATTAAGTAGTATAGAACAAATATAATATATGTTATCACTTAATATAATTAGATATATCAATAACACCCACATATAAATGAAAAGCCAGCCAGACATGAACCGTCAACGGGATATACTTACTTTGAATAGGAGCTCAAATTACAATGGATAATATTATATTAATTTGTACTAAGAAATTCTAGATTTATTTTTGTTTATTATATGACTAGTTGTGTTCTCCGGCTTCGCTTTTATTTTTTCTTATGTGTTGAAATTTATGTATTACTTATAAAGGTTATATATAATATTATTTTAAAGAGGGTTGATGTCAGGCAGGCGGCCGGTCGTAAAAACAATTAGCAAAAACTATTCACAACATGTAAGGCAGACCCTGGCTAAAGCTGGGAAATTGCCACGAAGAAAAAGGAGAAAATATAATATTATTTTTAAAGTATTGTTAATAGTATTTCTGTTAGTTTTGTATCATTTGGAAGTTTCTTTGTCTCTCGCGCGTTAAACGCTCACCTACACCGTACAAGCTCCTCTCTCTACCAAATTTAAAACAAACCTACTAGGACTGCCTTATAAGTATGTTCCAAGAATGTATTAATATTAGTTCTGGACAAGCCCAAGTCTTTTAGTAGGTTATAGAGAGATTTACCTGTTATACCTCTCGCTTAAAATTAGTTTAAATATTAATGAATTTCAATGTAAATAAATGGAATAAATAATTACTTATTCACGCCTGCCTTTAAATGTTCAATGTTATACAAAACTATGAATTTTATTAAATTTAATTTAATTATTTCAACTTTAATAAATAGTTTGTATAATTAATTAAACAATAAAATAATAACAAATTTTTGATTTATTAAAAATATTAATAAATCATTACCACTTCATGTATAAAAATTAATAGTCATTTATACTTTAAAATATTATTAATATATAAAACAAATTAAGTTTAAAATATATCAATAATAATAAAATCGAATCTTACTTTTGATTAATTAATATAATTATTTGTAAGTGACACCGAATTTTTACGAAAACATTATACATATATATCGGATTTATTACACATTCGTTGTTTTTCAAGAGAGGGACGCCAGCCTCGCTGACTTTACAAATATCACTTCTTCTAGAACGGACCATGATATTTTAAAATGAAACTGCAATTGTTCTTAATGTTCCTGTATTTCTAGAAGTTTCTTTATAATCACATACTTCAATGATACTCACTCACTGAACTCTGAATTACGAGTGTCCATTCTGAATTCCCCAGTCTGGAGTCCAGACGTCATATTTTTTCACAAGATTCAAACCTAGTTCTATTCTCCTTTGATTTCGTTTTACTTTTAACAATAATCATAAATACTAATGAGGTTTAATAAGAATTGATGACAGCCTCAAATTATTTTCAAGTCGCATCCGTTATTAAAGCTGGTAGCGCCGATATATATATATATATATATATATATATATATATATATATATATATATATATATATAAAATAATTCACAAGCAGCCAAGTACTTATAGATGCATCTCTAGTTAGCGAGAGATGAGACACAGCATCTCTGCCGATTGATATATGACGCCGTTTTAATTTTTTATTTATTAAAACAAAAAATATGGCGACTCAAATATACATTTAAAAAGTTATGTACATAATTGCTTATGTCAATAAAATTTTAATTGAAGATTTAATATTTTATAATTTATTCTGAAATTTCGTTTTCATCCCGCGGGAATACAATAATATTTGTATATTGTATGAAGTTACGTTAAATTGACGATAGGTGGCGCTAATGGTGAATATATTTTTGAGCACATTTAATTCGTTTCTATACACAATTACCGATAAAATAACTTTTATTCTTCTACCTATATTTATTTTTTAATAAATATATATGTACAAGCATATAAAAATAAGTCATTCGTATATATATAATATACATAAGTCTTAGAAATATATTGTATAAATACAGTATGTGTTAAAACAAGACGGCTTCCCGTGAAACAGGTTTCTATTCTATAATGGTAGCAACTAACTGGTTTATTATATTAATTATTTTTACTATCTCAGCTTCCGATTGTGACATTTAATTGTTTTTTATTTATTAACTTAAAAGTCTAACACCTACAATCATTCAGCCGAACTGAAAATAAATTTATTTACTCGAAATAATATTATCCATAGTTTTTCAAATAGTAAATATTATCATAAAACATGTTTCGGAATCCAAAATAAACATCGACTGTTTACAATGACTGATAAATTATCTTTAAAGACACCATCTTGTGTTGTTTTTTGTTAGAAGCAACCCGTTTTAATTTTTTCGATACCAGTTTCAAACTTCAACGTCTATTGAGTAAATGAAATTCGACTCTAGTGTATAGTGTAAAAGGTCGTATTTCAAATGTATTGTAGATTTTAGTTTTTTTTAATGTTTCGGACACAGGTGCTCCTAGCACTATCGGTGTTCTCAATTTGAAAAGTTTTGATGGAATTCTAGAATTCTTAATTTGAATGCAGTTTATAACCAAATAGGCGATTATGGCTTATAACCTTCATAGTTCAGAACTTTTATAACTATGACGTCGAATATATGCTGAATTGTATTAAAAAAATCTTTATTCTTACAATACACATTATATGATTTTTTACATTAATATTAATAAGAACAAATAGTGTTTAAATTTATTTTTCATCTAAATCGATTTTAATATTTATTTGGTTGGGACATAAATAATGTCGAAAGACAAAATAAAATTGGAGCCATACAGACATATACAAATTTTAATTCCTCCCCGTAAATAAATATTTCTTTTACCAATATTTATAACTCGTTTACGTAAAAGAATATAAAACTCTGAAGCTCTCATCCAACCTAAGTATAATGATTACCCGAATGAAATTATAAACAAATATTTCAAAAACAGGCAGATTCTAAATGAAAATTAATTCAAAACTTTTCAATTATAGAACATGTTATTCGATATTTCGTCTAAGGTATAACATTAAACATTTCGTCAAATTATTATTAAATAAATCAAATCATTACATCATTGGCGTCAAGACGAATTTGAAAATGGAACACAGGGTGGAATTCAAAAATCGAACGCAATTCGAAAAAGCAAAAACGTTTCAACGCATCACGCAAGACGCTGCGAATGAGATACGCAGGCTCCCGGGGCTTTACTGATCACCCTCCCCGCCGCTCGCAGCCCTCCCCCCGCTATCCCCCGCTCGGCCACCCCACCCCCATACGGGCTATTCCGCTCCGGGCCCCCGTAGCGTTCGGACGTGTGGCGCGTTCCTTGCCGACACCTGTGGCACCATATTCGCGGTTCGACATTTTGTTTACCCAGGATCACAGTGATAGTGTTATGTGTTTGTGAACGGATTGCTCCTTAAAGGTGGTTATTATGTTAATTGATAATAATGCTATAATTAGTTCTAATTAGGTTTTTATTCATGACGATTCCGTTTGTCAAATGTGTTGCGACGTGGGCGCTTTAATTCGAATTTGGAATAGCGTCGTTTAAAAAAACCGTTTGAAGGTATTTTGTATGGACATCAGTATGGTATTTTTCATTGATATACACTACACTATTTCATAAGTAACAAATAATATTGATATTTTAATAATGTTTTAACGTAAGAAAAGGAAAAATCATTGTAAAGACATGCGGGTAGGCATAAAAATGTATAATGAAAGAATAAGATCTACCAACAGAACAATGATACTAAACATAACATATATATGATGTTTTCTATATAAATTATTCTCAATTAAGGCCCCTACCGCATGTTTCTTAGCCAAGCAGACTCGGTAATCAAAGCTAGTATATTTTTGAGGTGACTTAACTTCTGATTGAAGCCTTATTGGCCGGATGGAGTCTCTATAAGCGCAGGAACATCAAACCATATGCTTTTGAATCTTAAATCGATTGCTTTGTGTCAATAATGTTACAATACCCGCTAATCAACGATTATAACTATTGTATGGAAGTCTTGAAATTATATTGAAATTCTATTCTATGGACGCCATTATAAACATATAAATAATGTCGGGTTATGAGGCAGACCCTGGCTAAAGCTGGGAAATTGCCAGGAAGTAGATATGAATAATGTTGGGTTTACTATGTTGTATGACCCGAGTTCGCTTGTTTTGGTTATAAACTATGTTTCTTTATTATACATATATAATATATATGTTAAATGAATTTCAGTTTTTTATATATAACTAATTATATATAGCTTGTTTGATGAGTACATATAAAATCTTAATTTTTATTTATACACATTTCAATGATAGTTTGCTTCCTAATTTTATCTCGACTTATATTTCAGACGAATCCTGAAACTAAATATTTTATATGAGAAAAATTATATCGTTTTAAGTAATTTGAATCATAAATTTTCTGTAATTTTTTTCTATCGTGTATTTAGGGGCGTCACCATTATCGGGTATGATTATATTACATTATACGCGTTGATACGAATTTGTCAACCTGCAACTTATTTAACTAGTTTAAATTCGCCGGTTTTACTTGCTATATAGATATAAATAAAAATGTCATAATTATGGATACTGATATTATTAGGTTTATACGAATTGGTCATTACTGACATTTTTAAACCATGACCAATTTTAATATAACTGAGTATACTAAAAGAATCATATTTTGTATAGAACTTACTTGTTACATACATTTTTTTATTATTATTCATAATCATCGACACTTATGATTAAGTTTATACGAATTGGTCATGTATAACATAATATTACGACCAATTCTCAAACCCGAGTATACTAAAAGAATTTAATCATAGTTTATAAGTATTCCAAAGAAGGAAGGTATATTTTATAATATATCAAGTAACAAGTTCAGGTTGAGCGGATGTCCACGTATAAGAACCTGTTTTTCCACCGCTGGTTTTTAGTTCTCACGATGGCTTAAGAATAATCGGAAGTTATCAATGTATAATTAATAATTTGATGACCGATACTTTATGTACTTTATTCATTTTGAATATATATACTAGCTTTCCGCTCGCAGCTTCGCCCGCGTGGAGTTCGGTTATATCGCGTTTCCAAGAGAACCTTTTAAAAGTCTGGGATAAAAACTATCCTATGTTCTTTCTCAAGATCAACTCTATGTCTGTACCAAATTTCATTAAAATCAGTTCATTGGTTTAGGCGTGAAAACGTAACATACAGAAAGACAGAGATACTTTCGCATTTATAATATTAGTAGGGATATATATATATAAACTATAACAGATGTCTGTGCGTCGCCCCTTCGTAACATAATACTAAATATTCATATAAAATTAGGACATTTATTTGTAAGGTTAGTTTACGCGTCTGTCTGTGGCAAACCGCAGTACAAGTAAATAAAACTTATTTATTCAAATATAACACAATAACCAAATGTTCATATATACAAGCTTATATTCCTGACTTCGTCCGCGTTTAAATTGAATTTGATTTAGAAAAAAGTAATTGCTGTTTTAAAAGCAATATTTTATCGACTATTATGATTTCATATAAAATACGACTCATCTGAAGCGTTCCCGCGGGAATTACTCGGAATTAAGCAATAAGTTATATCCTATATGTCATTCTTATTTATAAACTATATTCTCGTAAAGTTTCATGAAAATCAGTTCAGCAGTTTTTCACGAAAGACTCACTAACATTTATGCTTCCACACAAACTTTAATACATAATAAATGGACCGTAATTCTATACATATACTTATTTATTTATTATTTATTATTAAAAAACACTTTAGAATACAATTTTCAGTAAACATTGACATCCACACTAGGGCAGGCTTGTATTGTGGTCAAATTCATTTTCAGCAGATAAGATTCAGTAAATTTACGCTTAATAATAATTTAAATCAAACATACAGTCTTATAAAATGAATTGATAATTAGTTATATAAATAATGAAATATGGTTGCGAATATAAAAATAACACAATCCCTCCCAGGCTTCCTCCCGCAAAGAAACATGTGTATTGTATTGAAGTATATCTAAATAGACACTTCTATAACAATTCTATACTACACTCTGTATGTGACTTCACTCGTTATTTTTAATTTCTGTGTTTTTACAATTTAATTAAATTAAGTTTATAAAGCTTATTTTAATTTTAAATCATTTTTTTTTGTAGTAAATTATAATGTATGTTATTTTTTTTTTTTTAGTTTTTCGTTATTTAAAAGATACGCGTAGTAATCGGATAAATATTAGTTTCATTTAAATGAATACTCACGAAAATATTAGATCGAATTATATAATGTATACATATATTTTTGCTGATTTTTTTAAATGTTTTTTATATACATTTGTTTGTATTACTCCTTTTTTAATTTGTCTAGACTAATTTTTATGTTATTATTGAAACAGTTCTTAGCACTATCATTGCAACTGAACAAACTAATTTCGTCCAATTTATGAATGGAAAAGTTTAAGGTGAATTCAAATAATTAAAACATAAAATTTTTGTAAAAATTCTGATAATATTTTTCTTATTTCTATATATTTAGAAGATTATCTCCTAAATAAGTTTGGATGCTTAATATATTAAGTTATCTAAACCCGAGTTCATGAGATATTGCTGTTTCAAACTCACAGACACTTGAGTTACTGAACAGGTTTGACGGAGTTATATTAGTAAAACTTTGTTAAATATTATATTATATATAAAATTAGCTTTAATTATATATATTATATGTATATACATATATACACATCCCTACTAATATTATAAATGCGAAAGTAACTCTGTCTGTCTGTCTGTTACGCTTTCACGCCTAAACCACTGAACTGATTTTAATGAAATTTGGTACAGACATAGAGTTGACCTTACGGAAGAACATAGAATAGTTTTTATCTCAAACTTTTGAAAGGTTTTCTTGGAAACACGATATAACCGAACTCCACGCGGGCGAAGCTGCGGGTGGAAAGCTAGTATAAAATATATCGTATTAACAAATCTAATATAAATTTTGCTTAGAAAAAATTTCGTAAATAAAAATTCAATCGAATAAAACATCAGTATACTTACCATAAGTTCGTACTACCATACAGATAGTTTGCAGTCTTTCATAAATAAATCCTCACTCAATACAGTATTAACGAATATTATTTAATAACAAACGGTAGACGCCTCGTATTTAGTGCGAAGAACTTGTACTATCCTTATTTCTAAAGCCTATTCGCAATTTAATCATTAATTGATGAATCCATTTTGATGATAATTCAAACAATCAATAGGTTTTCAAATCCTTCCCATACAAGACAACATTTCAATCTTTTTATACATGAAATATGTTTTAATTTTAATAATCATTTACGGACAAATGTAATTTAGTTCACTATACTTAAAATTGTCTCATATATTGATATTATATACTATTATAACAGCTTTTTTTTTAGCCTTTTTTAGATATGTTTGTTTTGGACATAAAATATATACATATATATATGTAATATTTGTATTTTAATATATAACAGTTGTTCAATAAACGTCACTGAACCCACATTCGGTCCACATGTGTGTTTGTTTCTCACGCTGCTATCTTCTTCTTGTTTTTATACAACTCTTGCAAATATTAACTTATTTTTTTAACATAACACAGTTCAGGGTTACTTGTTTGTTTTATTTAAAAATTACTGAACCGAAAATGAAGAGGTTTTAGGTATACGTCTTATTATAATACTAGTTACTGCATGCGTCTTTGCGTGGGATGAGTGTAGCCAGATACACATAATGTATAAAGTATATATAGTATATGTTAGGAGACTTCACACAATACAAATGTGTTAATCCTTCGGGAACACGAAATTTCGGGATAAATTATATCCTATATCTTATTCTGATGTATAAGCTAAATTACTGTGAAGTTTTGACATAATACGTTCAGTAGTTTTGACTTGAAACACTAACAAACATACATATAGTCACAAATTTTCTTTTTCTATAACATAAATAAAAATTATACATAATGCGACATTAAAATCACAATTTAACAATATATTTTTACGACCATCGTATAAGATTACAAAATGCTAAGAACAGTATGACAAATGTCTATAAATATTGGGACAGGCTGACGTTTTTATGGGTTTTAATATATTAATTTGCTCTTAAAACACCATAATGTCTAGTTTCATTTTATTGAGCCTATGTATTGTGTTACTTGTTCAGTAATAAGCTTCTTGCGTTAAAGGTCGTATTCCCAATTAAGTTACACTCAAATCCACTATGGATAATATATCAAAAATATTATAATATTCATATATAATTAGGTTATTAACGTGCTATTATCTGTGGCTTTGTCTGCACGTAGGCATTGGGTTTAGATGATAATAATGTGAGCTTATTAAATAAAGGTTAATAGCGACATCTATCGTTCGTATTGTGATTTAATCACGATACAACTGTTGTATTTTTGAATTTCGGAATAAAATGCAGACTATAAACTCTGGTGTATGAACTATATTATTGTAAAGTTTCATCAAAATCAATACATCAGTTATTACATGAAAGATTAACACACGTTCGTAAGTAAATACAAACATTCGTGTTTTTACCACTAGTAGGACACATTAAATTACACATAGTTTTATCATATATTTAGCTATTTTTAAAGAAATTAATAGTTCATAGCACTTAATATATAAAAATTACATATTTTTAGTATACTTCATACGTAAAAACGTTCATGTTAGCCAGATTTCTTAAAATTTTTCAAATTTCACATGTAAACATCAAAATGTACTTTAGTGATTACACAAACAAACACACACGTGAACAGAGAGACGACCAAAGACGGAGACAAAATAATTGTACAACCTACACCACAAGTTTAGTGTGTAGTACAAGTTATAAGATGAAGCGTTTTGATAATATTTATAAGCGTTTGTTATAAGCGATTCAGTTTTATATACGCTAAAGCATTGACATATTTTGATAGAATAAGAAAAGCGAATAAATTTTACATACATAGCATATTTGTGTCAGTTTTTAAATATAAACTTAACGGATTTAAAAATAATTCAGATAATTTTATATAAAATAACTTAGAAGCGTGGGTTATGTGTGTCGCAAGAATCGAGTTTAGAGAAATACTTAATGATGTGAGTGGGATCTGACGTCAGACCATTCACTGGAGAAAACGGTAATAAAACATACACACACACACACACACACAAACACACACACACATAACATTCATTAGTGCAACAAGCAATTTGTTGCACACACACATTATAAATGTTGTTATGTTTTCTATCTAAAACGAATTATCAAAGTAATATATATAAATCCAAAAGACAAGCTAGGTCACATGAGCACCCTGTATAATCCATGACAACGTCACTGAAATAGGCATCAATCATGATAGCTATAAAAAAACCTTTTAAAAAAATATATCAACTTTTATTATCATACGTAAAACACTTAAATGCCATACTGTTTGTGTATCAAAAAAATTGTCTCGTTAAATTTGTGTTAGTAACATTTAGATACTTATAAATTAATTTCTAATAAATATCTATTTTATATGTCTTAGGACACTTGAGTTATATTATATTTTTCTTTACAGATTCTGGATTGTTGGCAGTGCTGTGTCCGTTTTGATAAAACTCTAGTGATTTTGGTGACAGTGTTTCGAAACAAAATGTGGAGGTGATCTAACTTTGGAACGATATGTGCTGTGATTTTCAAAATGTGCTCGAGATTAGGTTTCGCGATCATTCTGTGCGGTGAGTATAATATTATGTCAATATGTTTATGTACATATGTCATGACACATATGTCATTATATGTCAATATGTTATATCCATAGCCAAAAGCTATATTCGTGAGTTTTATGGATTGAATATGAATTTCATTTGACAATTCCAATATATTAAGGAAATGGCAAATAGTATTGAGTATTGAGTCATGATTTTTTTACGGTATTTAAACCAGATTTTTATAGTATATATATATATATATATATATATATATATATAGTATATATTTAATATAGATATATATAATATAGAATTAAAAGTATATAGTATATATTTAATATAAATTTTAATTTTCTATGACTTAATAAAACCTAAGAATTAAACTCGTCTTTAAAGAAACGCTTATAATGTTAGTTATAAAAAGATATTATATTATTAAACAATATTTAAATAGTTACTATAATACAATATGAAGAAAAATACATATTTCAATCATTATAGGTACATAAAAAAATGTACCTATTTCTTTAAAGCGTTACGAAAACTAGTTGAACCACAAATCCATGTTAATTTAAATAGTATTATGATTTATCTCAAAAATATAAAAATGTGTACAGAAATATTTTCGTAAAATTGTCCTAAAATTTCCATTTACTTCCTATCAACAAACCATGGAAGAAATATAAGAATTTTAGATCGAATATTTAAACAATATAATAATGTAAGCCCCTTATTTAAACTTGTATGGGCTCATTAAAAAAAGTTCAATGAATTTATTTTCAATTAATATTATTTAGTGTAAACAAAACATTTTGATTTTATTGTTTTTCGAGTGGAACTTGGGACTTGGGACCCTCTAGGAGCTAAGAGCTGAGACAAAACAATTTAAATACTTAGTGTTCGCGGACTTTTGTGTTTATTTCAATGTTGCTGCAAATGTTTGACTTGCATTTACAGACTTAACACTTTATATACTTACATAGAACTACATGTATATATGTATTTAAATTAAACTAATATTTTTGTGATATACTACGCGACTTTATTTTTGATTAAAACTACATACTGCCGACGTTTCGGCTACTTTTCAGCAATCGTGATAACGGGCAGACGAGCTGTGTCACGGTTGTTGAAAAGTAACCGAAACGTCGAGATTATTTAGTTTTTAACAAAAATAAAGTCGCGTAGTATATCGCAAAAGCATTACTTTCATTTAAATGAATACTCGCGAAAATCTAAGATCTGATTATATATATGTATTTCCAAATAAAGAATGTTTGATACAAATTATAATTAGAGTGAAAAAATATATAACCGATTTTATATATAGTGATTATAAGTGAATGAACAAACAGATTATCCCGGACATTCAATCATCTGGATCCCGTATCCCGTACTCCATGTCCCGGCCCATTCCCGGGACTGCCATCACTCACTACTAATTCCTATATAATGCGGAATAACACTACTATTTGTTCCCGATAGTAAATAATCATTACTCATTTAAAAAAATAATTTTTTATCGAGTTCAAAATATATATTTTACCCAATTTCTACTTATCTTAGAGTCTTATACTTTAAGATAACATCATTCATTTGTTAGTTTCGGAGATAATAGAATGACAAGCTGACATATGACAAACATACAGCGGTCGGGTCAAGAGATATTATATAATTAATATTCCAATATAAATAATTTAAACTGTCCAAATATATTTTTGTATGAGTAAAATTAATTTACGACTGGATAAAAAATTAACTTTTTTACGTATATCCAGTTTTGATTTAAAATAAATTTTGAATTTTTGATAGTGATTTTTTACACATATACTTCGATAATAAATCTTCATATATTGGAATCAATAGTAAAATCTTGTCGATGCTGAAAATATCTTAAAAGATCGATTGAAATTATTGTAGCTTTTTGTTAAAGATTTCGAAGTCTTTTAACTAAGTATATAAAAAAACTTAGAGTCAAAAATAAAAATTAAGCGAGATTTATTTGAAAACATATTCCCATATTTATTATTGAGGGACAATTAATTATAAGTTAAATTGAAAATATTTATTTGCAATGAAATAAATTAACACAAGGAATAATTTATTTATAAGGTACTTATATGAATATCAAAATTACAGGAAACCAGATAAATTATATCAAATCTACTCTCTTATTATAATTAAGTAAATATACGTATTTATTAATACATATATCGACATTATTAAATAAATATGAAATCTCGAATCAAACTCGACTGGACAACAGATCAATAGTAGTAACCAATTCATCACCTTTGGCCATTTATTTTTTCCTGTAATAATCACCTCATTTACTGATATATATAGAGCTTGTTGATTTATTAACATTTTTCATACTTATAATTTTATTACATTGAAACATTGGTTTTTATTTCGTCTAACATAATTAATACCCCGACTTCGCATGATATCAAACTTAAATTTGAAGATTTAACCGATTTCGAAGCAGTTAATGCGTTTTACTTAGGTACACTTTAAAATCTATTTCAATACACTCTCATCTTATTTTTAGACTACAAATTCAGGAATATTTATAATAATGTTAAGTTAAATGAAACTAATATTTTCAGATTTAATACGCATTTTTTATTATTATAAACTCATATGAGTTTTTTTCATCTCTTCTGTTCGTGATCACGGTTGCTGCAAAGTAACCATAACGTCGGGAGTATGTAGTTGAAAATAAAAAAAAAACGAGCAGTATATACAAAAATATAAGTTTTATTTAAATTAATACCTACTCGCGAAAGCCATAGATCTTATAACATTAGAAAAACATGCGATTAAATAAGACTATATTTACCAAAAGACTAATTATGCTTAAAACAAGTTTTCATCGTCACTACATACTAAAAGTTCGTCGTATTTCATTCAATTACATAAAATTACTATAATATGTGAAAAATTAATAATGAAATTTTTTTGCGCGTAATACATTGAAACACAGTCAGTGGTGGCCTAGTGGTTGAAGAGCCCGCCTCTCGTTGCCGAGGGCGCGGGTTCAAACCTGGCAAGTACCAATGTGATTTTTCGGAGTCATATGTACTTTCTGAGAGTATTTAGACACCCCTGACTTACGGTGAAGGAAAACATCGTGAGGAAACCTGGACTTATAGTTTCATAATTATAATTTTAAAATCACCAACCCGTCTTACAAGCGTGGTTATTAATGCTCAAACCTTCTCCATGTGAGAAGAGGCTCAGCAGTGGGCTCTGATAGGTTGATGACGTAATACATTGAAACGATTGAAACTCGTGGTGCTCATGGTTCTGTATTGACAACACCATGTATTTACCTTATTGTACCTTATCGCACCTCATCAGAACACCCTGTACTAACTGTTCCAGCCCATATTTCTTTTCTCCAATTATTTCACGAAACCTTTGAGTCTTATAAACATTCCTTCAATCTCGTATTTCAAACAACAAATATTTCTGAAAGTTTTTTTCAACTCAACCTCATTATTTTTATATTTTCCCGTTTCCCTTATTATTATTACGGCATATTAAATATCATATAAATAAATAAATATATATACATTTTCATCCTAAATCTCTAAGCCCAATTATAATGACATAAGGATAAATTTTTAGTTGCTTCATCCGTATATAACATCTTATACTTATTTTCCGTAATTAATAAAATTCCGTTCCGTAATCAATACGAGGCGGATGTCGACGTAATTGACTTAAAAAACTTGGAACCGGACTAAATACTGAAAAAAGTTGCTGCTCTCAGTATATTCATATGCGCCCGTTTCCGTTGTTATTATCCGTTTTTTAATCACGGCTTTTTTGTCGGCCACGAGATTTATCATACTGCATTTTGACGTGCGTTTAAAATTGTAGAAATATCTTAATATATCGAACGAACTGGGAGTTTTGATTAATGCTATTGAATGTTATTTTACATACACATATTGATTTTAAATATTAAATATTAAAAAATATATAATATAATATTTAATATTATAATATATAAAGTTCTGTTATATATAAAATGGGAACGATGACGTAGCTCCGATGTTTTGCAGAGTTTTCTTTTCACGAGTAAACTTTATGACGTCATCCCGACCTTTCCTATTTCACTAAAGAACAATTTATTTTTCTTCAGTCCAACACTGACACTAACATTTTATAACCAGAACCAATAACTTTGGAAAATAAAAGTTCTAATAGACAAAAGAACATAGCTAACTTAATTATCGCTATGGCTTAGATGAGAAAGAAATTATACATGTAATTATTCTAGATTCAATACAAGAAATCTATAAAAAATTTTGGTTTACAATTATTTAGCAAAGAAATCAAAATCAAACACATATCCAAATGACCTAGGTTCGATTCCCTTCAACTCCCATTCAAATCTGTAATTCAGGAAATCTTAAGACCCTATAGCTCAGTTAAGAAAGAGCCTACACATTGGATTACCCCAGGTTTGATGCTCGTCACTAATTTTTCTTTACGATTTAACGAAAATATTATATACAGTTAGTTATTTATTACATAAGTATGTTTTATATGATTTAATTATAAACTGGATGCAATAAGAAGCCAATAATATCTGTAGACAGTCAAGAACATGAAAAACACCCAATGGACATTCCTCTAATATCTATACCGGTTATTATTGAAACCAGACCCCTCATTATTGACCGGGAACTTGACAATTATAAGCACTCGAACTTATATCACAGGCGATTATATACCTTATTATATATAAATAAAGTTTATTTCAAACTGTATAAACATATATATGAAGTTAAGAAATATATAATCAAAAACATACTCTAATTCACGTATATATAGAACTGATTTTCCATTGAAGGTATAAATAGATTTATATCAAGACTATCGAATAGTTCAGCTAGGCAATATATATTAGATTTATTAAATCTATAATAAATAAGTTGTTATTATAATAGGCTGCACGCACACTAGACTACAGCATGTACAAGTGACAATTGAAATAACAAACGGACTGGTTAATTTAAGCGTGTGGATCCCGTGCTTAAGTCTGGCAGTGTGAACATTGCCTAATGTGGCGCAAGTTAAAGGCTGAGCGTGTTTAATAATAATAATAATCCTACTAATATTATAATTGCGAAAGTTTGTGAGTGTGTGTGTATGTTTGTTACTTCTTCACGCTCAAACGGATGAACCGATTTTGATAAAATTTTGTATACAAGAAGCTGACGTCCAGGAATAACATATAGGATACTTTACATCCCGGAAATCTCAGAAATCCGAGAGTAACACCGTGGGGCGCATCTAGTATTACATATGTTAATAAATATTTTGGCATCATAAATTTAAACATTATAGATTCTTAATATAAATATAGAGTTTTGTTTATAAACAAACAAGATTTTTATATTATTTCATTATTTTTCTTTCTTTCGCTGATAGTAAAATACTATAAAATACTATAAAACACTATTTACAAATCATTCAGTGAATCTATCAAATATTGATATTAATTAAATCAAAATGACATGAATGTAATTTTAACTCAATAAATCAATATTAAAATTTATCACTATACATATATACAGTTAATTAAAGCATTACCTATCCTAATACATCTTTTTTATTATTATGAATTTCTGTTATTATTAAAACCTATTTTTATATGCTAAACCATACCATGAAACTATATATATACATCTTTATATAAATCAAAAAATATCATATATATTAATATACATATTTAATAGCTATTCTCTCCTAACTTAAACCACACAACAGTAGGAGCGTTCACCTCTGTAGTGTGTCTCGTCGGCTTAACACGACTCCTATCAGTCAATGGAGTACTTGTCTTACCTTCAGAGCTGAAACTGAAAAATATACATTATATAAAACATATACATATATAATTAACGAGGACATAAAATATATAATATATTAATTAGAAAAAAACAACATACGAAGTCGTCTTTAAATATATAAATGATAATTAAATTAAATGTGAAATTTAAACTATTTAATCTATTAAATATAACAATATTTATAAAGTAATTCATTGATATAATGCTATTTTATTTTTTGATAAATATATATGTATAATACATAAAATGTCATTAAGTATGAATATGTTTTTTTTATATATTAATTTATGTTCAGATAAGGATTTAGTATCCCATAAAGAATGCTTTAGAAGATCACGTATTGGTTTATAACCAAAATACTCATCCAACTAGCTATATGAAAACATGATGCTTAAAATTTTGCATATTATAGAATATGATGCTTACTACAAGTATAAACGTCACACTACATACGCAGCGTTTCCCGTTTCTAATTAAAACATACCTAAAATATATAACTTAAAAATTGTTAAATCTCCTTATATAATATAGTACAACGATAAAACTGAGAGTATTTAGTTTTGTTATAAAACTATTAAAGACTTTCAAATAAAGTAGGAATAATCTATTTTTTTAAGGATTATTGTCACAGAGTAAGTTAAAAAGATTTGAAGACCTCATTAATATTTGAATTCTTATCACAAAGTCGTTAAAAATATATTCTTTCATTATAATTATTCAAAGTAATGATAAATTTGAAATGCTTTTTCCAGTCCATCTCCAAATTTTCTGATTTATATAAGTCTCAACAGTTTATTTTAAAAGAAATTGATTTGTATTATATGTGTTTGAAACTTAAGTAAGAACGTACAAGTGTCTGCTTCTACGATTGACTTACACCTACTACTACGATGTACAACTAGTTAATACTAAGCACTACAATTCAACACATGTCAAAGATCAATCACTATTCAATGAATCCTCAATACGTTGCTTCAACGCCTTATCTAAATACAACGTATAGTCAAATGAAATTCATTTTACATGCAAGCTCATAGAAAGTTGTAAATCGTCATAAAACTTTTAGTAATAAAGACAATTTTTTTTTGTTAATTTCATACTCATATTTGAGTATTTTAAGACTTAATTTAGATAAAAAATAATGCTATTAAAGTACAATTTTATCGTTAATATTACCTTCATCCACTTTTTTGACATAAACAATGTTTAAATTAAATAATTTTGTTTGTAAATGTTTGGTTATTCACCGTACCTTTTTGAATCTCTCTAGTGTCAACTACAGATAAGACCTTAAAAATCGAGGCACGTAGTTTTATTATTATAATTCTGCTTATAACGTAAATCTGTAGGGCTAGACTGTTTTATATTTGACCCAAAAATTTGGAATAATTTTGGATAAAATACCCAAAGGGACTGAATATTGGTTAGCAACCAGACAGATAAATTTTTAATTTCGAGCCTTGAAATGTTGAAGCTGAGAAAAATATCAAAGTTACACGTGATTTGAAAACATAAATACTTAAGGGTTAACAACTTATACAAGATTTATGTACGCTGTAACATCTTATATGACAGATGATATCCCTACTAATATTATAAATGCGAAAGTAACTATGTCTGTCTGTCTGTTACGCTTTCACGCCTAAACCACTGAACTGATTTTAATGAATTACATACAAATACATTTGGTACAGATATAGAGTTGACCTTGAGAAAGAACATAGGATAGTTTTTATCCCAGACTTTTGAAAGGTTCTCTTTGAAGCGCTACGCTCTAATGACTCCTCCTCTCTTTTCCCAGCCACCACTCTGGTTTCCTCTCTAACTCCTTCTCTGTAAAATCTATCAGGCTGTGGAATAAACTTCCACTAGAAATAAGAAAGGCACCTACAAGGGCAATTTTCAGGCGTCGTTTACAGGAACATTTTGCTCAGAATCTGTATTAAGTCTCTGTTTTTATTACTGTTTTTGGTATATAATGTATATCTACTGGTTTGTATGTGTATGTATATGTATGTGTATGTATATGTATCTATATATATGTGTATATATTATTTATATATCAATAGAAATTTATATGTATATTTTTACTTTTACATACTACCGTCTTCATGTCTTTCTGCTTTGCCTAAGGGTTGACTGGCAGAGAATGCCTTCAGGCTTTAAGGCCACCTTTTGTATCTACGTGTGTAGTTAGACAATAGTTTCTAAATAAATAAATAAATAAACGCGATATAACCGAACTCCACGCGGGCGAGGAAAGCTAGCTTAAAATAAAACTGGTATTATATATCATAAAATAGAATTTTTCAGTGACAAAATAATCAAAATCAATATTCAGTTCCATAGGAACCAGTGAAATGTCACTCCAATCCAATCTCTCTCTCGAGGGACACATTTTCAATTGTTCGACCTAAACTCATTACAGGCCTATCTGTAGTTAACGGTTAATAAATAGAAATCTTATTTAGCGATTTGGAACGAATCCAATGTTTTAATGAATGTAAATGATGCAATTAACTCTTTTCTTCCAGTTCGATTCCTTGTCGCAGAATTTGACAAAACCTTATACTGGTTGATTATGTTCCAATGTATATTACCTTTAACGACAATTAGTTCAAAGCATCTATTGAATAGGCATTATCAAAGGCTTAATTTATTATAACTTAATAGGTCATTGAACTTTTTACCCCAATAATGTTCTTTTTTTTCCTGCCCTGGTCCCATGTTATGTAGGGTCAAATCTACCTTTAATAATGAAAAAATATTGTTAAAAAAAGATATAAGAAATGATTAATATATGCTTTTATTTTTGTTCCAGCACTTCCCATAATCGCCGGTTTCCAACAGCAATACTTCAGGGTTCCACCAAAGAGTTTGAGGGTCCAGGAAGGTTCAGAGGCAGTTCTAGAGTGCGCTGTTGCTAATCTGGCTGGCCAGGTTCAATGGGCGAAAGATGGATTTGCTCTTGGTGAGTAATATTATTGGTTTTAAAGTCCTAGATCAAAAATTATTAACAGAGGGTATAGTTACATTCCAAATATATTCGAATTAATCTTTAAAGATTAAAATATAGAAGTTCTAGGTAAAATTTAGTTATAACAAAATCTTCTTCTTCTACCTGGCAACTTCCCAGCTTTAGCCAGGGTCTGACTTACATGTTGTGAATAGTTTTGGCTAATTGTTTTTACGATCGTCCGCCTGCCTGACATCAACACTCTTTTAGAAAATATAGTTATAATAAAATATTAACCAAAAACAAAATAATAACAGAATTAAATGGCTACCAAATAATCATTTAAAGTTCCATGATGTAAGAATTAACCAACAGAGTTTAGAAAAGCTTTATATAGCCTTGGAATACGTAAGGAACAAAGAAGTGAATCTGGAATGTCACTAGCGCACCAATTAGGGGTGGAAAGATAAATAAGCTGGAGTGGCTTGATTGAAGGATTCAGGAGCGTTTGAATCGAGTGGAAAATTTAGAACTGTGATCAATACTGACACTGGCGTGGTAGAATCTTTGTATCACTGTACAAGATTTGAATGACACATTATTAATAGTTTTTAACAAATATTTTAATGGCTAAGTTGAAGAGTTATAAATTAATAGGGATTTTGAAATACTTCAAATGAATTCACTGTTTTTTTTGAGATAACGTATTGCAATGTCCCTTTTACGTATATATAAAACATTTGATTTAAAATCTTATTGCATTACGTAGAATAATAGAATCTTTGTGATAAATTTAATTTGTGTTCCTGGACTATTTGTCTATATTGCATATAAATAATAAAATTATACAGTTCCAGACAAATGTATATTATTTCTAAGTTCATAAAGATCATAAACAGGTAGGGTAGTTCCAACAAGTTTTATCTCATTTATTTCAACTACCCTACTTTCTATTGTCTATCAAAAATGGGTCGCACACCACAACTGTGGATAATAACCTTGGATTCTCCTTTTGTTTTCATGTGTACCTATTATTTATTAATGTTTATAACGGAACTTCATTATATAATTAGGTCTACAGTTTTTTTCATAGAATAAATTCCTTGGTTACTCATGTATGAAAACTAACTGAAATGCTAACTAACCACAAAATGCACTCACAAAGCTAGCCAAAAAAATTTTGGTTACACCCAAAAATGACATATTTTCTCTCTCTGCTTTCGAGATAAATCTCAATTGGTTAAACGCATAAAAAACTTAACTGATAAGCTTATCTCAGTAATCTCAAATAGTATTTACATCCGTCATTCAAAAAACCGCGATAATTCACCGGCAGAAAACTACTAACTCCAATCCATCCGCTGTTTCATTAAAATGATAAAAGACTAAATAAATTTCGTTCCTAAAAAATCCACGGAACCCGCCAAGCTTTCATCGTAAACGGTGACGCGGCTCAAGTTATGCTGGTATAAGGAAATAAGCCCGAATTTTTCATGTCCAAATTAAAGTGAACCAAAAGTTATGTCGTCCACGCATCGCAGCGTCGCAGTTGCATCGCAAAACCGCATAAAAAGTTCTAAATGCTTTTTAACCGACTTTATACACCTTCAGCTAGAGGGACCGTGGTTTGTTTACTTTTATGGATATACAATGAAAAATATATATACTTTCGCATTCATATTAAATAAATCCTTAGTATATAAGAGATAGCTACGATTTTGTGCACTTTATTTCTTATAATATGTATATTGTACATGTATAAAGTTATCATATATGTAAGAAAACACGTCTCTAAACACAAAGATAATACAAAAAAACGTTTTTTTTTAATATCCTTGAAATTTAAAGAGAATATCAAAATATATTTATTTCATTGCAATGATAGATATGAAAGTCTACTGAAATATATTCAGTAGTTTTGGTTAGATGTAAGTATATATAAGATGAAGTATCCTGAAAATTATTTCAAATAAACTGACAGTTTAATATTCCAATGTTTGTAAAAGTCTTATACTAAAAAGTTTATGTTGATTATATAGTAAGTTTACTTAAAGTAATTTAAACATGCATATATATATATATAAATACAGAAAGTGAGACTACTTCTAAGTTCTAGAACTGTTACATAGTATCTTAAACATATTTATATAGTTTTTATCGTGAGTATGATTTTTAATAAATACGAAATATATATTCTATAAAAATTTATATATTTATTTCTTAATTAATTACCTTCTCATCTCATTATTTAAAAAGTAAAAGATTTTAATAATTCTCATTTTTAATTTCAACTAATTATGATAAAATGTTATGAAGAATCTTAATATTCTTGTATATTCAGGAGCTAATAAAGTTAATGCACGTGGAGGTCATTTAAATAAATTTACACTTAATGTAAAAAGGTAGAAATTTGTATTAGGAAGGTTATTAAAAATTCATTCTGCCATGAATTATGAAACTAAGGAAAGAATGCTTATAAAATATTATTAGTATGGGATATTATTAAGAATACTGTGAGTATAATTTTCATATAAAATTTGTGAAAGAAATTTTGTCCCATAGATGGTTGATAGGGTAGCTACCCTACTACAATATATCGTTTAAAACATAACTTCGAAGCAAAAATGTTTAGTCGTTGTGTGTAACGTTGGCTGTACTTTATGTTAGCTAAGTTTGCGGTTTTGCTCGGTTTTTTTTTTGCATTTTTTTCATCTGTTTTCTATCGGAAAGGACCCTTTATCGCTTTAGAAGTTGCTGGCTTTATAACTTTTGAATTTATGGTATAAATATAAATATTTGTGCGTTGTTTTATCGATATTTCTAAATTCTGTTGAACAAAACCTGCCAAGTTATTTTTATTCACTTTCCTGTTTATTTATGTCCGCCACTGCTGTTTTTTATATAAAATATAAAATTCAACTCCCGGCACAAGAGTAATTATTTTAGTTTTAATATTTCTCTTAATTTTTGAGCTTCCACAGTTTTGAAATATAAATGTGGTTTAAATAAAATAAGTATCTTTCACTAAATACTCAACCTACAAGTGTACAAGCATATTTAGAATTTATAACTATTACATATAGCTCGTATATATACGTTCGTATATATATACCTACTCAATACATAGCTTATATATTTTTCATCAAAATAATTTCAAAAGATTTCCACTTAAGATTTAAATCATCGCGAAAAATGTCTGCATTATGCTATTACAATACTTTTATTACAATTATTTTATATCATGATGTTTTTTTTAATACTTAATTTTTGTATAGTTATTACTGTCCTCACTCATTATTTATCTCACTCATAACTATACTCACTCATATATTGTTTCTCCAGGTTTCTCATCAGTTATACCTGGATATCCTCGCTACACGATGTTCGGGGATCGTCGCCACGGCATCTACAACCTTCGCATCATCAACACCACTTTGGAAGACGATGCTGAATATCAGTGTCAAGTTGGACCAGCTCAAATGCATAAAGTCATACGAGCGAACGCCAGCCTTACAGTTATATGTGAGTATTGTTATACTTATAGAATAAGAAACCTCTCATCATTCCATGTATTCACGGTGCGTGTGTCGGGTCCATCGTTGTAGAGAGAGGAACTTCAACAGTGACTGGGACTTGTGACCCAGGTGTAGGTTTAAGGAGCTCCTATCTACGACTGTGTTATGTTATATTTGATTTAAAAAATTAAAAATTACTATCTATCCAACAAAACTATTTCATTAAACTAAAAAGAATAAAGAAACTTACTACATATCAATAAGTTTTGAAATGATCTCAATACTTGATTATTATCAACAACTTTCACGTAAAATTCTAATAGATTATCAGGCAAAGGGAAAAGTATCTCAAATAAAAAACAATGAAAACCAATAAGTCCGGGCTAAGCGGGAAATCTTGTAAGGAGGCGTAAAGTTCGTAAGAGCTTAACCCCGGACGTATCAAAAGGGTTTGATATCTAGGATATAGGGTTTATGGGAGATGTGGCCTTCTCTGGCTTGTATCGACGGTCTCTGACCTAAATGATGCTGAATAAGAAATATATATATAAAAAAAATATGCTGAATATCTGCTACCTTTCATAAATATTCCCAGGTAAAAAATTCGATTAGATTTACAGTTTTATACGATTTTCCAAAACTTTTCTATGGTTCACATAAAAAACTATCGATAGCCCGATATAATAATATCGATAAAGTTTATGCCCCATCCTTAACCTATAATAAGAAGGCGACTGTTTTACGAGGGCCTTTTATTCAAATTCTCTGGTTCCGTTTCCAATATGCAGTTAGAATACATTTTGACCCTCACAACTATCCTGTTTGTTGTATCTGTAGTTTTGCTTTAGTGAAAAATACTTAAAATAATATTACTACTTACCACTCAGAACATATATTATAAACCACGTCGATATATTGTAATATATGTTTATCACAATAAAAACTAATAATACATTTGTATGATAAAATCATTGGATTGTATAAAACGATGATATATTTTGTTGGAACAATAAAATTGGATGTCATGTCGTGACATGATTTAAGCAGGCATATATTGATAAATCACATAATTTTATTGATTTTGTAACAGATATTAATTGAGCAAAGATTTAATTTATTTTTAACTAGCTTTCCGCCCGCAGCTTCGCCCGCGTGGAGTTCGGTTATATAGCGTTTCCTAGAGAACCTTTCAAAAATATGGGATAAAAGCTATCCTTTGTTCTTTCTCAAGGTCAACTCAATCTCTATACCAAATTTCATTAATATCAGTTTAGTGGTTTAGGTGTGAAAGCGTAACAGACAGACAGATTTACTTTCGCATTTATAATATAAACAAAAAAATTAAGAAATAAGTACAATTCCATTAAAATAAAATAATGTTAGCATCGAAACGGTTATTTAAACGTTAAGAGGACGTTGAAACAACATTTTCATCAGAAAAATGTCAGAGAAACAGCATCCCAGCAAAAACATAATACATCATCGCAAATAAAAACGTCAAATAAAATTTCTCACCTCACTACTACTGTTACAGAATTCAACGTCGAACTTCTTAAAATATTTGTCGCCATTTGTATATTTCCACACTCGTCGTTTTAAAAACTTTGAATCAATAAGTTTGAGAGCTTTTATAACAACGGACAAATGTGTGTTTGAAAAATATTCGCATTGCATATTTTCGTACTATTCGAACATTATTGTATGTAATTTGTCAGAACTAAACTTATAACATATATTATTTAAACAGAACTAATCTTCATTTAAGAGCTAATAACAGTGAACTTTTATAACGCTATAGTCATATTTTCCTCTCGCTCTAACAGGCTATTCCCATCCTTTTCGCTCTTATATAAGCATTTTATAAAACTTGTTTCCCACCCTCGATCTTACGTACAATTTTTAAATTTTTAAGTATGAAAACAGGCAAGAGAGGCGGGATGAAAAAAAATAGTAACGGGGTCGAAATTGATTGGAACGGGGGATGTTTAGAAAGACGTATGGTTTTAACAATGGGAATATGTTTTTTTGTATTGTTATATTTTAAGTTTTATGTCAACCATATGTGTTATTTCCCCGTTTTATTGTTGTGGTGTAATCTTTATAGAATTCACCTTTTATCTATTTAGGATGCTCTGATGGTAAAGTCAATATAGAGAGGATATATGCTTTATTGTTCCCACAAATGAGACCACACTTTACTATTTGGGAAGTTTCTTCAATAGCATGACTAACATGAACTGAGATGACCCCTCTATATTAGGAAACTTGGTCTAATCATAAAAATTGTATTTTACTACATCTACCACAAACAAGATAGTATTCCCTAAGAAGTCAGTTATAATTTAATTGCATTGGACAGTAAATAGGCTTAATTGGAATCTGTCAATACATGCATCTTAAAATTATCACTATACTAAATGATTGGACAGTTCAACTTAGTCATTGAATTCAATTTTGAATCTTATTGTTTATTAAATAAAGTTGTATATTATACAACAGCTATAATTGTTCTTGAAGTATAGAAGGTGAGTTTTGGTCAGGCATCTTAATATGGATGTGACAAACTCCATTCTTAAATTAGGACTTTCTGAATATATTTGTCACACAAGTCATAACACAGCCCGCTCGATATCACCGAGAGAGACAGAATATGGATTTTTATGACTATTTTATGAGCATCTCAACAAATTTTGTGCAATAAATAACTTTTAGTGGAGTCAACTAAAAGCATTGCTCGGCTTTATTATACTCTATTAAGAGAACACAGTACCGCTAATATTTTTTTTCACTGTACTGCTTCCACGGCGCAAGTTTCCCGACAAAGCTCGGTTTTGTTAAAACTTTTTAAAAAGAAAGCACAGCTTTTATGTCACGGAACGGAGAAGTTAGGAGGTAGTTCAAAATTAACCTCTTTAAGGCGAAATGTTGACAATACTACAGGGATTCCCAACAAGTTTGTTTTTATGTTGCTTGTGTTTCAAGTTAAACAATGCTTTTGTATCAGTCGACTGTTTGAGTTCGGAATCATGATGGTTGATGGCGTTTATAACAATAACACTTAATCTATCATATTAAAATAACCAAACACAAGCAACGAATTAACTAACAAATATGTAAGGCATGTCATCAAACAAAATAACAGAAAAGGTAATAGAATATGGATAAAAGAAACTTTGGAAACAACCTGCTACAGATAATCTGATATAAGTATAAAAACAACAATGGAAGAAACTGATAAACAAATCAACAATACCAACTAATAATAGGGGCGCAGTAAATTCTATCGGATTGCCCGACAAAAATATGGCTATGAAAATAATAAGCCCAGATTATACTGTTCTCATATTTGCTATGCGGAAGCGCTGAGTGTAAAGTTTTGGATTTATTTTGAGGATTCCGTTTGCTTTCTAGATGACTTTTTTGCGGCTGTTGTTGAAGTAGAAATATCTCTGTAATATATTGTTGGTTATTGCATAGAGGGAAAAGGTCTAATTTTATGGTTGGCGATAGGATTTAGGAAAGACGATGTTTTCGGAAAAGGGAAATAATCATTTCTATTAACATTGTTATGAGGATGTTTGTTTTTTTATTTATGAAAATCGATATAAATATAATACAGTATATTAATATGAAAAATCTTTAAAAAAATGTGTGTTAAATTTTGTGTTTAAAGTATGCAACACCAATAGCAAGTGGTAATTAAATTTTAAACTCAATTTATATTAGCTATGGCTATATGTTAGTTTGAAATTGTAATTGAAATAGTTGAGAAGCTGTTGTCAAAGGAGCTCGGACCTTGTTTTGCTCTTCTGAAGTCGAGTAGTTAAATTTATATTAATATTAAACTCGAATATAATTATTGACGTAATTGCTATTACGTAATATATACCAATTTACACATTTTGTTACGGAATCTAAACACGGCATATATTTTACGTGCAAACTACATATAATCTATATATATCAAAATGAATTGCTGTTCGTTAGTCTCACTAAAACTCGAGAACATTATTCCCCATACAAACATTTTTTTGACATTAGATTTGACAACTAATTAATATGTCAATCATTCGGTTCGATTGAAACAGGAAAAATTTTATAAATACCAATACCTGGTTATTTAAGACGGAATAGAGTTCGCCCTGTCAGCTATACATATGTATATATATTACCAATGACGAAATTAACGCGGACGAAGTCGCGGTCAAAAATTAGTTTTAGATAAATATTTTACATAGAATGTCATAGAAAAGAAGACGGTGTTATAAAAAATGCAATCTATATCTTTATTATATGTATATAGCAAGGTGATGAATGGTTTGCTTTAAATCGAGCAGCCTCTTAACTCTCCAGGGTTATTCGCTGACTTCGATATCCAAGAGACAGTGTCAAAGTTAATATTATAATATAGTTCTGGAGAATTCCCCGGGTCGAGGGTTGGAATAGTTTAAAAGTTGGCTGCGTAAGGGTTCAACCTAATTTGTCTTAACTGAGATGGGCATTAAATCCGTCTATATTTCTATACTACATCCTCGTTATCCACACATTCATCATACAAAACGGTTACAGGTACAAAACTGTTTATTTTACAACTTTACATGAATTTCCCTTTTTACAAAACCAACAGAGAATTCTGTTAAATTTTCTTAATTTCTAACACAGTATAAAACATCTAAAGCACCCTTTAATTAATATAATTAATACTTCATTTAATTTTTGCGTAAAGGAAGATGGTGAACTGAAAATAAAACAAAAATTTTTAACGTTATTTTTCCGTCGGAAACCGGGAACAATTCTCCCTTGCTATTATTGTGATACAACTTCAAAGGGCATTAAACCCTTTGAGTAAATCCATCGCCATCTTCTTTTATGTGAATCCTGACAACCTCAGAAAATGATAGCTGTAATTCCCTTTGACACGATGAGCAACCACATTCATAGCATAGCTATGTTATTGTCAGTTTTTAGGTCAATAGATAATCTTGTCTTCGCTGAAATTGGATTAGG